TATAAAACTAAAGACACAGTTCAATGTCTGGAAAAAAGTATTATTTTTTGGAAAAATAATGAATGACATCAAAGCATTAGGGGAAGTGAAGTGTTACTCCTAAATTACTGGTGGTCAATATAACATCTGCTATTACTCTGAAATTACATGGATGGAAAAGGTCAGACACACCCAGTATTTCAATATTGCAAAAGACATGAAATCTATAAATGACGACTCTCTGGGTCTCCGTTTCAGCAAACCACTGCCTATGGTGAATAATGGAGAATTATAAAAACTGCCTTAAATTGAATAATTTGAGTTTACTGAACAGAAACCATGGCTTCGATCACAACTTTTAAGCATGGTGTAAACAGTTCTAAATATTCCACTAACTTGGATGACATAAGGTAGACATACTGACATATAAATGTAGGGTACATGTGATACTAAGAGAAAACTACATAAAGAGTCACTGTACAGTGAATTGCACATAAAAAACACTGAAATTGTTTTGAACAAAATTATCACCCCCTTCACCAGAAATACCATAAATGAATGAAACATCAGGAGTCTTAATTCAACATCATTCTGAAAATATCATTAAAATGCTAACCTGGAGAAATTCTAAGTACATCAGCAATTTCAAAACGAAAATGAGACAAATTAGAAAATGTTCCATGTTTTCTAAGTAATTTTGTAATGGGTTAATGTGTCATACTAAGCACCCCTTCTCACTCTCCCAACCACACCATTTTTGCATTATACAGAGATATTTACATGTCCACGGTTGGTCTCAGGAAGTTTACAAAGCGACAGGACAAATTTTCTGACAAATGTTTAATTTTGAAGCTTTTGGTTTATTATAGAAGGTGAGTTTCAAAAAGCTCCAGGGAGAATTGAAAAATAAAAAAATAAGTTATTTACTAAATGGTTCCATTCATGGAAAACCATGTTAAGATAAATACCTAATTACTTGTCTTGGAAACTATCAGAACATCCCTTTTAAAACAGTGAACTTTAAATTCAAAAGTCATGCCACCAGTGGCTGTGACTATGCTATAAACATCTGATGTTGTGTCAACAGCAAAATACCATATCCAAAAGAATAGTATAAATTAAAAGAACAAGAAATGCTTGGTGAGTGTGAGATATTATCAGAGGAAAACATCAGATAAAAAAAATCTCTGCTTTAAAACAAGAGGTCACTCCTACTCACTTTTGCTTAATGGTACATGGTAATAAGCTCTTTCTATACAGATTACCCTGGTAGCTCCAAAGCTAGGCTTGTCACTAAAACCTACCCCCAAAGGTGTGAAGATCTACTCTTTGAAGTGTTAATATCCATTACTCGTGAGAAAAAATAAGGTCCCTCAACAGTTTCACTGGCAGACCCAGAGGCCATCCAGTTCAACTCGCCCCTTCAAAATGAAGAAACTGAGGCTCGGAAAAGTTATGACTCACTCCAGGTCAAAGTTTGTTTGTGTACCAGCCGGCAGCGAAACTCCAACCCACACACCAGCAGCAGGTCCGGCGTCCACCCTGAGCTTTACATCCAGCTTTGTCATAATTTACTTTGCCATTTAGCGCTCAGACAACCCAGTCACTGGAAATCATTAACAGACAGCTGACTTTGGTCACCACACTCGCTGAATACCCCTCCACTGAAATGAAGACAACATACTTCACAGCCATTACTCATATCGACCAGCCTGAAAAATTAATCCAGATGAGAATAATTTTTCTTATTTGAATGGGACACTACTGCCTCACCATAATTTGCAGTAAGGGTAACACAAAGAGACACCCTCTCTCTTCAATGACCTGGAAGGAATGTACAGGCTAAACAAGACCAGTGGTTTGGTATCTTAGGACATTTCTCCACTCTTAAAATGTATTAAGGATATCAAAGGGCTTTTGTTTTTGTGGATTATATCTAGTGACATTTACCATATTAGAGATTAAAACTAATATTTATTTTAGATCATTTTAAAATAAATTCCTACATGTTTATATAAACATTTGTTTATGAAAAAAGAAAAAAAAAAACCTATTTCCCCAAACAAAAAAACTCTGGTGAGAAGAGAGGCATTGTTTTACATGTTTGCGAGGCTATTGTCTCACTTAATGGAAAACAGCTGGCTTTTCATATCTACTATTGCATTCAGAGGGTGATAAGTTTGGGTTCAAGTAATGAAGAAAATCTGCTTCAACAGCTATACTGTTGGAAAAAGGAACATTGTAATGGTTTTTCCAGTGAAGTGTAGATACATTTCTTTGCTGCTACATTGAAACTACATTTGAAACTACAGTAAGTAGATTTTTAAAGGTTAGTGGCCATGTGGAATCTGGAACTGTATCAATGGACTTTTCTTACACTATTACATTTAAATCCTTGGGTCTGTCTTCAATTTTGAATAATGAACCTTTAGCCAAAGTAGGATTTTTTACTCCATGAGCCTCTATGAAAGGATCTCAAGAAGCCCAAACTATACTTTGAGGTCTACAAGAAAAGAGCTTAAAGTTCAACCTAAAAATGAAAGATATTATTTAACCTACAAGCAGCTATGTACTGCCTTGATCCTTTCCAATCTTTAACTCATTAATTTAGTCAACATTCCCCTGGAATGCTGGATCATCATTAACATAAACTGTAAAATAGCCAAAGGGTTGTCCATTGGTCAAAGACAGGGAACCAATGAACCATGGATGAAGTTACATTGAGTAATATACAGATTGAAATCTAGAAAATGGTCCAAGTATCTTCCAATCCTTGAGAATTTATCCTGAGAAAGACCAAAGCAAATAGATTTGGGTAATATTCACACCAAGAAAAATGTAAATAATTAGTAATCTGTAAGAGACTTTAAATGAGATTAAAACTTTGATGTTAAAGTTTTAGGAAAACTGATATTAACAGTAACCATTTGTATGTGGACAGAATGAATCCCAAAAAGTATATCAACAAGTACATACATAATTTGGAAATACTCAAGAAGGGACACCAGACAAAACCTCCAGGGCCTACAAAGGAAGGAATGTCAAAGTTGCTGAGATTATATGTTCAAGGTGATGGGTTACTGGACTGTAAAGAGCTTCATAGATGGAGTGTGAAAACTACCATTTAAATAGTAGAAACAAATATGAGAAAATTAATTATTGCATTTACTATACATCTAGTATTTCTACTAGAAATTTCACTAGCTAAAGCATCAGCCTTCAAATTAGAAGAGCATAAATAAAAATGTAGTCACAAATCTATGGTGCCTAATTATAAAAAAATCAATGGAAATTAATCATAGGTTGATCAACAAATATTTCCTTTATGTATATTTTTTAAAGGATTTTGTGATAGAAAACCAAAGAAAGGGAAACTAACAATTATGGAAATGGGACTCAATGTTCGCCATAATAGCTAAAATGTATATACTGTATACTATGTGCCACTGCTATTCAAAATGCTTCTCATAATTTAAGTCACTTCACTGTCTTAACTACCTATTTAACCCCCTTTTTACCGATGAGAAAACTAAAGCTCAGACATGAGAAGGGATACGCACAGGGACACAAAACAAGTGTCCAGCCACAGTTTTAGCTACCAGGCTCTACTCCCTCACACTAACTCACCAAAAACATCACTCAAAAAGTATCCACATCATGTTCCAAACTTCCTTGTCTGGAAGTAAAACAAAGTATTCCAAGAACACACACTGAGTTAGGGCCGATGAAGACCATGTTATCTCATGACTGTGTTACCGTACAGAATTGAGAGTCTAAGGTAGTATTGGAATGGGAATGAATCGTTTATGCTATTGAAAGTTATAAGAATGTATCCTGTATGGTAGGTTTGCTTCCATAAAAGCAAGAAGAGCAAGGAGTGAGTCAAAGAAAGGGGGAAAAAAGCAGAATTAAAGTTTTGCTGGGTTAAAAAAAAAAAACAAAAAACAAAAACCAGGGTGAAAGGTATAGGAGAAAGGATAGTAAACCCTACATCCTGTCAAAAGGATGGACCGATTTCCCACAAAATAAGTGTTTAAGAAAAAATAGCCACATACTTCTGATGCCAAAAGGATGAACTGTATGTAGGAAATCTATTCTTTATATGTTCAATAAAAGATCATTTATTACAACCATGTAATAAAAATAGTACTGAAGCAAAGTCCAATGCAAGTGTTCATTATATAACTTAGAACCACCCTTTACAGTCATATCTAAAACTTCTTCCTTATTTTTTCTAAATATATACAATGTGCCATCTACAACAAGGAAAGCCAAGAGATCTTTTACAGTAAGGAATGTCTTCTGCAGACCTTAAAAGTCTAAACTAAACCACCTGAAAACTGCAGTGACATGTTTCACTTCCAATATAAGAGAGCAGGACTGCCCACTTAGTAATTTCAGATGCGCTGACTCTTTAAAAACCCTTAACATTTAAGGAAATGATTTATTTGGGTTGTTACTTGGGTTGAAAACCACAACTTACAATTAACTGACCTAGAAAAGGATGAAGAGAGTGGGGGAACTTGTGGGTAACAGATTTGGGGTTCATCTCATTTTTCCCAATGAAGTGATTACTAAAGAAAGCCAAGAAGAAACTCAGGCCGCAAAGAAACTACATTAGAGTGATTTTAGTTAGTCAGTATACAGCTAATGAACAACAACCAAAAACAAACAAACAAACAAACAAACAAACAAAAAAAAAAAACAGCACAAGTCCACTAAAGTCAACATAGTAACAGGCAGCAGAAAACTTTTCCAAACACCTGCAACAGGCACTATGGGGGAGAAACACCTACATACTCTCCTTGAAAATCAATTCAAATGTTTTCTAAGAAATTTTAAGAACTCTTTGTTTTTTCTCTTTCTGTTACAAAAATGCAGGGGAAGGCATGACCTGACCAAACTTCAAAATAAAACGGTAAACTGAAATGTGTTCAAATTTCCAACTGTAAAGAAAATGCCAATTTCCAACATTTTATCAAAGCCCACTTTCCGAAAACGAGATGAAAAGGTCAACCTACCTTGACACGTTTTCTGGAATGTATTCGAGAACCGGATATCCGTCGCTTCTCCGAGCTGACAGGTCACCGTGTGGTTTCCAGGATTCCACCAAGGTGTTGACAGGTGCAAAGGAACTCAGGTGTTGGAACGACTGGTCTCTCGCCGATCGTGACAGAGAGATGGTACCTTGAGCACCAATCCTGTAGTGAAAGGACTGTCCCCCGGAATTCACCCCAACGATGGCGGAGGAGGGGATACTGGCCTCGGGGTAATAGCTCCCATCATCCGGTTCTTGCTTAATCCCCATTGGGAACCCACTGCCCTCACAGCTCCCATCAAAGCCGGGCACCGGTGGTCCTAAAATTCCTGATAGAGAATAATAGTCTTTATCATCCATAAAGGAAAAATACGAGCCATCCATGAATGGAAACGGGTTTACTGGGGGATTCCCTTTAAACGAGGTGCCTGAACACGAGTGCTTGGTGGGTTCTTGCTTTACTGGTACCGAGAAGGGGGACTCCGAGCTGATCTTGCTGCCCCCTCCTAGACACGAGCTGCCGAAGGCTCCATCAGGCTCCGCCTTGATGTACTGGACGATGTTCAGCGGGCCCGAGCCGCCGTTGGAGATGGCATTCTCCACGTCCTCGGTCTTAGGGAAAGGGACCTCGGGGGCACCTTTCTCGTGTGTGTCTGGACTGGGGACCACATCCCGGGCTGCCACGGCCCCGGCAGGGGTGCCCGAGGCGGCGTAGCCGAAGGCATTGTTGAGAGGGCTACACATGGACCCCACGGTACTGGCCGTGGGGCTGGAGAGCGCGGACCTGTTGTTGGAAGGGCTGGACACGGAGCACCTTGAGTTGCTGATATTAGCAGGGCTGGACACAGAAGATCGCAGAGGGACATTGTTGGGACTGGACACCGGAGATTTTACGCTGCAGTGACTCGGAGGGCTGGAGATGGGGGACTTCATGCTACTCAATGGACTTGAGAGAGGGGAGCCCACGTTGCTGGCGTGTGCTGGGCTGTGCGACCTGGAGCCCCGGTTTTCCACGTTAGGGGAGCACGTCAAAGGAGTCCCCTGGGTGATGGGGCTGTGCACTGTGAAATTGCCAAAGCTGGCCGAGGTGGAGGACACGGGGTTGATGCCAGCGGGGCTGCACCCCGAAGAGGTCAAGTTCAGCGGGCTGCACACCGATGGGCTCTTCTCGTGGCCAGCCAGGGGGCTCTTCACGATGGCCCGCATGACCCCCCCATTCACAGAGCTCCCCGAGTCAGACATGAAGGATCGCAGGGGCCGGCTCACACCACCGAGAGTGGAAGGACGATGGCCATTTTCTTTGTAAAATTTCACCAGCTGGTCAACGTTTTGGCTCAACTTCGCTGGACTCGTGCCTCCTTGGTGCTGCTGATCGTAGGCGAAGTCAGCATCTCTCACGGAATCCATGTACAAACCCATGGACTCAGCCACAGTCGCAGAAAGTTCCTTAGACTCCAGCTCGGTTTTAATATCAGATGTTAAAATCCCAGAACGGTGACTGTCTTGCTGAATGCAAGGGAGTAGTTCATGTTTTTCTTTGCTGCTTCCTTGAGTACTGTTGTTTGGAATAGCACCGGAAACACAGCTTACGTTGACAATCTCCATGTAGTTGTTCTCATCGGTTCTCTCCGTGGACCCCAGCGAAGAGCGCTCCACAGTCTGAGAAACTTGACCCCACCGTCTGTCCATCTCTAGACCTTCCGGGAGACTGTGGTAGCCTTTGGTCTCCATAGCTAACAAATAAATGTAAATTAAAAAGTTAGTCATGTGTAGCAACATTATTCCAAAGGACCCTCTAAAATTGCAGTTACGGAGCTAGACATATTTACACGGTCTCCTTGTTAAAAGCAACACGGACAGTGATATTCAAAGTTGCTATCTTTTTAAGTGCTGATATAACAGCTTTGACTATAACAAGAATATAAGCGATCATATAAAACTATTTTGCATCTAAATAAAAGCAATATATATATGCTATAATACAGGTTTTAGAGTTTGCAAAGAACATTTACAAATGTGAGAACTTATTTAGTATTCAAAGTAACCCTGGAGACTGATGAGGCAGAGAAGGAAACTGAGGACTAAGACAGAGGTAGGTGACTTGCGCAAGGTCAAGGACGTAGTAGGTACAAAGCTGAGTTTAAATCTTGTCACTCCAAAGCTTTTGGAGTCTTTGCAGCATATGGAAGCTGCTTTCCATAGCTAATGCATGGCTTTATTAAAAGCAATAAAGAGATGCAACTGATGTTAACATTTCCCAATATATATTGATCAACTAAATTGTCACAGGAGAAATTAAAAATTACTGAAGAACAATGATTTTCTTAAAATGGACTCGTGATAAAGACAATTTAATATTAATTTTGAAAGGTGATGTTTCCTATCTCGTTAAAGCAGATTAAGAGCCCAGGAAGTCTCTGAAAACTTGAAAAAGCAGAGACTCTCTGGTCTGTATTTCAACACTAGTTAGGATTTTCTCATGCACCCTAACCTAGTGGTTTCTCTGCTAAAAACACTCCCAACAGACATTTTTATTCTCAACAGTCAATGGAGGAAGTTCAAGATGGGTCTTCACAATTTATGTGTTCATTCATTCAACAAATATTTATCAAGTGTGTGTTACATCCTGGGCTTACAACCAGTCACTGAGTCTACAGTGGTAAACAAGAGGGGCACAGCCCCACCCTCAGGGAACCCTCAGGACTGCTTCAGACATGCAATCAAATCCATTGGCTCGCTATTTGAATTTCTTTTATATATAAAATTATTACAATAGGCTATATTCTTATAATTCTTATTCGTGATATAATTCAAAGCAACATTATTAGCCTCACATATATAATTTATGCTGACAAACAACCCTGTACGTTGGTAAAAGTATTATGCAATGACACTAGTGAGGAAACTGAGTCACAGATCATACAGCAAAGTGGCAGAGTGGGAATATCTGACTTCTAGTCTGTCCCCACCCACCAAGGTATGTCAGCCTTGGCACTACTGATGTTTTGGGACCAGGTAATTCTTTGTAGTGGAAGTCAGTCCCAAGGCACTGGGCACTGTAAGATGTTTAGGGGTATCCCCGCCTCCTACCCACTAGAGGCCAGCAGCACTCCTACTCAGATTTACCAATCAAAAATGTCTCCAGATGTGGCTGATGACCCCCCCAGCTGAGATCCACTGCTCCAAAACACATATCCAAGGAAATCAACTCCTTTTCAGAACAATTTTTGTATATTTTAATATTTTAAACTCATAAAATCTTCATGCAGTCTTCAAATCCTTTCAGATGGGTAGGTGATCGCTGACTGAAATAAAGGTCTGTATCTCAAAGATGCAGTTTCTGCAGTTTTGCACAGATATTTTGCAGGCCTCTCTTCCTCTACCTCCATCCTCTTTACCTGCCTTTCATAAAAAAAAATTCATTAAAAAATAACAAAATTCGGAAGTCTATTTGGTATAGAACTTATACTAGAGAAATATAATAATTATACTAAATTGGCATTAGATACCTAAGGCTTAAAATAAAATTTAATGCCCAAACTGTTTAAGTATTGTAATTACCTCTTACTTTTTTGTGTCCTGCACTAGATTTTAAGTTCTGAGAAGACAGAAAACTCATCTATTCACTTCTATAAACTAAGCAGATAGCATCGTGCAAATAAAAAAAAAAATCAAGCTTCTATAATCATCACTTGACAAGTTGTGCACATTAAAATCTACCAGTTATAGAGAACAGCATCCTTTTACTTGAACATTCATTATTCCACAAGTTCCTAATCACAAACTAATCACAAATCAGTGGAAAATATGTCAAATTAAAGTCTGACGTGGTGCTCTGGCAATTCTAGCCAAATCTTCAGAGTGGATGAAAGCCAAATAAAAGTTGCAAAAAATATAATAGTGAACTCGGACCTAAATCACAAATAATAAAGGAATGGTCTATCTACTTAATAGAAAAAACATTTACTCAGAGCCATGCATGGAAAAACACCTTGTACATGTGCGCTGCTGCTACTTCTACCCAAGAATATTCTGCCCTCCCCATATCTAACTTGAATGGATGTATATCTAAGGCATATGTGTCCGTGGTTCAAATTTATTGAACACCCTAGGAAACTTGTCTATTCATGTTCAAAACTAAGTATCTTCCATGTATCTTGCCCTCCCCCAACCATGTCCCTAAAGCACATGCCCTGTTAGTGAAATGCACCACCCTCTCCACCAAGGCCTGGAAGTCAGCCTTCCCTGGGACTTGCAGAGGCCACCACTCCCACACCTACAGCCCAGGCCCTAGGCAACAGGCCTATCTACAGGCCCCTGGGTCTGAAGGGGGATCCTCATCTGATCTTCTATAAAAATCTATCCACCAAATTGTCTTTTGGAAAGGAAGATCACTTACTTCTTAGAAGTTTCACAGAGTAAAGCTGCATGCTAAATCTCCTGGGGAGTTCCAAGGTGCAGAAATCTTTTTCCTTGTTAATCGAACATTCCCAACATAATTTGGCCACTGTGTCCTATTTGCACAGAACGCCTGCTAATATTCTGGGGGACAATTTCCATACTGGTCCTAAGGCTCAAGCCACATCTCAGATGTGTGGGGCTCTGTGAAGATTTGCAGAGAAACTATATTGGAGATGGCCACAAGGTCAATCTTAAAGCACTCTACAAGGAAACACCTTATCAGCTAACATCATGCAGCTGATCACCATTTTCCAAGTCCTGTTTGGCTAGCCTTGAATGCCCTTAACAATAATATAAAACAACCTGCATTTATTGGAGAGAGGCTATCATTAAAGAATTTGCAAAAGGTTTTCTTAAATCTAAATGAGGGCTTGTTTGAGGTACTGTTCTCATCTACCAATTGAATACAGCTCTCCACAAAGAAAATAGAGCAAAGGTTGGCAACAGTCAAACACAAAAGAATGGAGGGCGTCTAACTAACATCTGTGTGGCTTCCATTGCAAACATTTTCAAAGATCAGGATTTTTAAAAATTAGGTTTACTGAGATATTTTATGCACAATACCGCTATTACTTAATTCATAACTATTATTTAATTCATAACTCTATTATTTAATTTATAACTCTATTATTTAATTCGTAAACAAATGAACCAGATTAGGAATTTGTTTCCTGCGTTGTCCAGGAAACCCAGGTTGTCCTTTTGGAATTGGCATACTGACTATGGCTGGAGCAGAAACTTCAGTCAACCTGAACTTAGTAGCAGATACTGAACATATTAACTGATGAATATGATGCTCATAGAACTTATTATCCAGAGAGTAAAGGGAAAGTTTGTTACTAAAGTATAAGATGAGGCAGATACTGGTTTACAAATCTAGCTTTCATTGCATCAAACTTGTCTCCCTCACAATGGAAACTATAATAGAGACCCTCTAGGGACAAAGACAAAAATATTATACCCCTTTAATTTTCCTACTAGTGCTCTCTCCCCACAAAATATAAAGAAATTTCACATAAAGGGAAGCACTCATAGAAGCGCTACCTTAAACCAAATATATGCTCTTAAGCACAATTTTTGCAAAGGAAAAACTGAGTTTACAATGTTTTGTTTTACAGTCTGTTTTATAAATTCTTCCTTTCCCTGAGCAGTTTTTTTTTTTCCAGGAATATTAACAAAGATTCCTGCAAATTTGCATAAAAATACTTTCACTTTTAATATCCCCCCAACATAGTCCCATTTTCAATGCAACCTTTCCTATAATTATTTCACTATAATAGGACCGTTTAAAAACAGAACTTTAAGAATGTTATAATGTTCACTGGCTGCAGAGTATCAAAGTTCACTTTTTATTTTTCTGCTATGCCCACTGCATACCTATTAGTATGTTCTCCGCTTTTACAGATGAGGTAAATGATAGAAACCTGCCCAAGGTCACCCAAGAGAGCTGGAGAACCAGTTAGAACTGAGCACACCTGATTTCTATTCACTCACCTAATTCACTGAGCCACCTGATCTTTCTTAAATCCCCAAACAAAACTATTTCCCTTAAAGGAAAAAGCTCCCCACCTAGATTATTAAAAAACAAAAAACAACACAACAACAAAACTTTTCTCCTGAAATATTTTCATGACAGCGCGCCATGAAGCCAAGTATAAAATTAAAACTTCACAGCACACCTTCACAGATGGAGGAAGCTGGTATCATTACTATGCAAATATCGTCAATAACAGCACCTGGAGAAAAGGCCTTTACAAACGCTTCAAAGCAATTTAGGGCATCTGAAAGCCAGCGATCCCCAAACCTCGGGGCTATCAAAAGTTTTCCTAACTTCCATGTGATAACAAACAGTTAAACCTGGCGGTGCCACTGACCAATATAACTTACACCTGATCCTTGAAAATTCAGCAGGAAAAGCCACGCACCCAACATCAGTTAGGCGGGTAAGGATGCCACCCAAAGCAGCTTCACCTCCTCTGGTGGCCCAAACATTCAACGGATGCCCCGGAAAGCAAAGCCTCTTCTCAGGACTTTCGTGAATACGAGGCAGAGGGAAGTGCACGAATTGCCAGTGCGCCCTTCCACCAGTATCTATCAGTCTCCGTATCTCCTTCAACTGCCCTTATCGGCTACACCTCCAGCTGAGATGTGGGTGCTTCCGCAATGGACAGAGGAAAGAAACACTATTCAAGCGTCCTTTAAAACGTGCACCAGGAAAGCGATGTGAAACACATCTTTGCGGACAGGGAAGGGTGGCAGACCTCCCACTGCCAAAGGCGGCTGCAAGCTGCTCGTTCGAGGGCATTTATCCAAAGTGGCCAAACTTTCCCAAAATAGTCCTCTGGCGGCCCAAGGGGGGAAAAAGTGGAAAACCCAAACAAAACAACAAGCCCACAGCACCCTCCCGACCGAGCCTCCGGGTTACGCAGCCGCTTCTCCCTGCAAAGCGCACGCTCCCGCGCCGCGGCCGCACGCCGAGCCGGGCACCCCGCCGCGCGCCCCTACACACCTGCCTCGGCCGGGGTCCGCGTCTCCGCGTCTACCTGTTGCAGCGCTCGCCTACGCCACGACACCCCCGCGGCGGAGCCCCCTCACATCCAGCCACATCCAGGCCGGCGAGCGCCGCTCTCCCTGCTGCAGGGGAGCCCGGCAGCCACGCTCCTGCACCCAGGTGCCTGCACGAGCTTCCTCCGAGCAGCCAGAAGTTGGCTGGCGTCTCCCCAGTCCAATGACACCCGGGGCACCGAGGGACGCGAGGAGGAGGGGGCAGGAGCAGGGGCAGGGCCACGGCCAGGGCCAGGGCGGGCGCAGCAGGGAGGGAGCCAGGCGGAGAGGGCGGGCGAAAGCCCGGAGGGGGAGTGGGCCAGCGCCGGGGCCGGCCCTTTTAAAAGCGGGTCACATGTCCACATAGAGTTCAGGTTGCCTACCCGCCCCCCCGGAGCCCTTCCCATTGGCCCGGAGGGAAGCCAGGCTCCACGCTGCACGGGTCAGGCGAGCTGCTCATTGGGCCGGGCGCGCTGTCAGTCTCCGGGAGGCGACATGACTGATACAAAGTTGCTGCGACACAGCCTGGACTCCGCAGCTCCCTTAAAGCCGCAGCACCGGCGGGCGCCCGGGGTGAGGGCAGGGAGACGGCCGCGGGCACCGGGCGCCCTCCGCGCGCGCCACCGCCCCAAACTCGCGCGCGCCCCCCACCCCACGCGGCTCCCCTCCCGCCCGACCCCGGGATGCCTGCAAAGACGTGCAAAGTGTGGGGACGCGGAGAAGTCATTTTTACCGCGGGCAGTCCGGGCGGTGCACCCTCCGGCTCTCCACCTGCAGCGCCAGGTGAGCGGCAGCCCAGCCCCAGGCGCCGCCCACTGCGCTCGTGCGCAGCGGGGAACCCCGGGCGGGCTTCGCGCGACCCAGCACCTCCCCGGGCTCCTCTGCGGGCCCCTTTGCTGGGTCCTGCGAGTTACCTCCAGCAAGGCAGTCGCAGCGTCCGCTGCCAGCGAGCGAGAGGAGCACGTTCCCACTCAGTTTGAATTTCCTTGGTGCAAACGTGCAGGGGGGGAAATAAGCGGGTGATTTCAGAGCAGGCAAAGCCCTTTAAACATGCCCTCCCTCCCTGCCCCCCCCCACAAAAAAAAAAAAAAGCAAGCCAGGGTCAAGAGCAGCTGGGCTCCTTCCTTATAATTTTGTTGCTGTATTTACTGCTTCAGGATTGGGTTTTTCCATTAGCTCCAATGGAAGGAGCGAACCATCGAGGATATTCACTTCTCCATGGTGGGTGGGAGGGGGTGCACATTATGGGGAGCAACATACAGCGGGAGGAAAGGAAGCAAACTATGTGCTCAGGATCCAGCGTCTGCAGAAGGAAATTTCGGTTTCCCTCCAGCCGCCCCCACCTGGACTCCCTCCCGCCCACCCCAGCGCCGTAGTTACTAAGCAGAAGGATGAGCTGCTTAACTTTGATTTCTCCGGACTTTGAGGCTCCGCTTACGAAGCTCCGTTTCAGGCTCCCGGCTGGCCCAGAGTCCCATCAGTGACGTACACCCCCAAATCGGGACCCCCGGCCCCCCGCTGCCCGGCGCCGGCGGCTGTGCAATCGCCCTCCTCACCCTCGTCCCGCACCCGCCAAAGTCCTGGGGCGCAGAGTCATCCGGTGCCCACAGGCCCTTCCTCTCCCTGCAGTTGAGCGTCCAAACCCTGACCCCGAGGAGACTCCACGTAGAAACTCAGGCGCTCCCCACGGGGACCCCCCCCCCGGCGGCGGGCAGCACCGCGGCGGCGCGCGCGAGCAGGTCCGGACCCCTACTCCGGTGCCCGGCGGCCCTCGACGCAGAGAGTCCCCGCCAAGTGCCCCAACTTTCCCGCGGGGCCCGGCGAGAGCTCTCCCCACGGCATCGATCGCGCCCCGGCCGCGCGCGGGCGGCGGGCGGCGGGAGGGGGGTCCGGGGCCGGGCGCCCGGGCAGCCCGGGAGGCGGCGGCTCGTCGGCGCTGCCCAGTTATTCATTATTCAAGGAGCTGGACGTGCGTCTCGTACTAAGTTTTTACCTCCTCTGCGGAGGGCCGGTCTCGCCCTGGATCTCAGCTTCTTGCAAAATCTAGGTTAGAACCAAGCAGGGACAGCCGCCGCGGGCGCTCGCCCGCCGCCTGGCACCCCTGCCCGAGGCGGCCCGGCGGGCAGCGCGCCTCCGCTCGCAGCCCCCTGGGCGCGCGACCCCGCACTCCCCGCGCGGACCTCGGGGTCCCCCGGGCCGGCCCCGCGCACCCCGGGCCCCTCCCGCCGCGGCCAGCGCCAAGTGGCGGCCGCTGCACTCACCTTTTCTAGGACATGGTGGGGAGGCTGGGGCGCAGGGCGGGGGCCCGGGGGGGCGCGAGGCACCCGCCGCCAGCAAGCCCAGGGCTGGCCGACCGCGCGGGAGGCGGCGAGGCGGTGGCGGCGGGCAGAGCCCCGGAGCGCGGTGCTGCCACCCCGCAGCGGGAGGAGAGCG